ACACGAGATGTCATCAGCCAAAAGCAGAATGTGGAAACGCTATAGGACAAATGGCCCTGTTTTTTAAAATAAGTAACTGGTATTTAATTAAGGGTTGATGGTTATAAATTAAAGCTTAATAGACCTTCAGAGGATCCTGACTTGAATGATTCAAAGATAGTTGGAAGACACTGAGTACAAGTTGGGTAGTCAGCTGTCCACATCCATAGGTCCTGTAGTGTCAACCACCTCCTGGTTGAAAATACTGAAGGAAATTTCGGCTGTGCAGGAATCTGAGGCAGAAGAACAGTGAATTCAAAGCTAGCTAGTCTGGGAAACTTACTGAGACCCTAGCTTGAAGTTAAAAATAGAGAAGGGGCTGGCGATTTCCTGCAGAAACCAAGGGACAACTATAAGGTTGAAGAATTACCATTGCATTGAAGATAATTTTGGCAATGGCTTAAAAAAATTCCTTATCTCTTTTAGAGATAGGTACTAAAGTATTTATTGGCAAGTATAGGAAAATGTTAATGGCAGAATCCAAGCAGTGGCTGTATAGGTATTCGCTGTAAAGGTCTTTTGAATCATATATTTGAACGTGTTTATATAGAGTTGGGAGTGAACAGAGATGAAAAGCTGTATGTGTAGGTAGATGAAACTGTGGAAGTAGGTGTTAAAACAGGGTGGAAAACATGTGAGGACTGGTTTTGTTATTCAAGAAGTTAGTGAGTGGGAGGGCACAAGATTGTAATCCCAGCATGCGGGAAGCTGAGGCAGAAGGATCATCATAAGTTCAAGCCACCCTTGGCTGCACAGGGAACTCAAGGCCAGCCTGAACTATATAGCAAGACCCTGTGTCAAAAAACAAAACCCAAAAAAGTTAGTGTTTGCCTGTACAAACAGGTATGTGTTTGCACACATCTGTTGTTCCACAATTTGGGAGGCTGAGGCAGGAGGATGGTGAATTCTTGGCCAGCCTGGACAACATAGCAAGCCTGTCTCAAAAAAAAAAAAAAAGTTAAAAATACATGAAACAAAATCCAAGGTATTCTGCCTGCTGACTAAAACCAGAGAAGTAATAGTGACTACTCCTTAGTCCTTATGTATGAGGCTCCATGTCAAGCATTTATCAGCTCATGCCACCCTGTGAGATCAGTACGATGAAAAGCCTTATTTTACTGAACAGGAAACTTAGGTTTTGAGAAATTAATAAACTCACCCAGCCAGGCAGTAAGCAGCTGAGCTGAACTCCCACTCTTCTCATGGCCTCCCTTCCTGCCATCGCTGCCCCAGTGATCTAGCTCCTCCCGGTGCTTTGGGGAATGTTCTGGAATGTTCTCTCTCACTCTCTGCCTGGTTATCTCTGGCTCTTTTGGCTTTAGTGTTCCCCCACAGCCCTGCCTGACACTCTGCAGTCTTATTCTTGGCATGTACCTTTCCTTCATGCCACTCATCAAAGCCGATGAAACACTGTATTTTCATCAATGCACTCACTGATCTCTGCCACTGGAGTGTAACCTTCCTGAGGCCAAGGATGAACTCTCTCGCGCACCCACACGCACAAGAGGCCCGTACATGCTTATTATTCTTTTTTTTTTTTTTTGGTTTTTCTCCAGTACCGGAAACTGAACTCACGACCTTGCACTTGCCAGGCAGGCGCTTTGCCGCTGAGCTAATTCCCCAGCCCGTACATGCTTACTGAATGGCTGCGCCTATCTCAGGTGTGTCTGTGTGCTGAGCTACCCCTCCAGCCTCCCCGAATGAACCTCCTGTCCCTGTGAGTGGCTGCAAAGGCAAGACACCAGCTGGCCACCTGCCTGCCTCTTCCCTGACCCTTGCATTGTGCCCAGGCCCTGCATTCTGCCTCCATGGCTCTCTGGTCTCTTCCCTCTGACACTCACCAGAGGCGGCAGTTAGTAGCTCACCGTTACATGTGTTCCAGCCTCCTGGGCAGGCAGTGGAGCTTGGTGAGACCAGATGAGGCTTAACTCCTAGGTGTACCCTCTCCATTCCATCCCACGCTCTCCAGCAAGCAGCCTTTTGAAAAACAACTCTAAAAATAGTTTTGTTTTATACATCCAAGGTAGACAGGGGGAGGCATACTGCAGACCCTCAAAACCCAACAAAATGTACTACTAAGCAAGGCTGATCTATGTCAGCACTTGCTACACAGTGAATCTTAGGTTGAACACTCTTATCTCCCTTTAAATGTCCACAAAAACTCTGACCCATTTCTAGCATTTTACAAACGATGAGATGAGGGGCAGAGGGGACGTTTGCTATCCAGGGTCGTCATCGTCATCGTAAGTGGCAGAGCTGGGAACAAACTGGGCTGTCTAGCTCCTGTGTGCGCACTTTCTTACCCTTTCTCTTAATGCCCACCACCTTGCCCCAAGCTAAGTACAATAGTGACAGCGGGTCTAACTCCATTCTACCACTGCCCTGTTCTGATCCACCGTGCGCCCTGGGAGACAGAGCTCTGTTCACAGACACACCTTGTGCCCTGCACCAGAGCTCTAGCCTGTAACTCTTGCCCAAAGAAGCAAGGAAGGTGTGAAATGAAATTGACATTCGATGTTTCCCAAGTCATGGCCGTGGAATAACTGTCATGAAACTCAGTCTCCACTTCTGCCAAAAAAATCCTGTTTCTGGGGCCAAATCCCAGTCACACCTTGTCAGGTCCCTCTGCACACTAGCATAGTGAAGTCTCAGAGTACTGAAGGCTCAGAGGCTGCCCATAGGCAGCAGGAGTTTCCCGCGTGGATTGCCTCTGAGTCCTTCTGTACCTTGCTTCACTGATCAATGCACAATAGGGGGCTCCAGAAGCCCCGCTCTGCTGGGCAGGTGGAAATAAGAGGTCAGCACTCCAACAGTGGGGAAGCCTTCTGGATCAGTTCAGGGCATTCCCTACAGCTAGCAGTACTGAAGGCTGAGTACTATTGACTTATGAGAAGGGAGCGTTCAAGGTTGTCCTCTAATACCACTCATTCATGAATTAATATAATGTAAAAAGAAAGAAGTTTATTAGTTAACTGAACAAGAGTGACCCAAATTTTGGTAAACTGAAGGGCCCATTTCTGGAGGGTGTTTGTCCCCAGCACAGTTTGGTGGGGGTGATATCCCCAAAACAGGACTTTGGGGCGGAGCAGAAGCAGATGGGCGCTTTGCCATCTCATCTGATTGGCCTGAGACCGTCATGGGAATTCTCTGCACCTTGGGTTTCTGGCCAGGGGAACGGAACAAGTAACACCTCCTTCCTAAGACTGTCCTTAGAATTACATGAAGCCACATAATTTATCTGGCACATTCCAGCTACCCAAAAATAGATACCTCAATTTCCCCGCCGTGTTCAGCCACACTCTCCAGTAAGAGGAGCCCTAGATTCATAGAATAAATGAACACAGCCCATCTGCCTGGAAAACTACCTCACTCTACAGCATTAAGTTTACTATTATCGGGGCTGGGGATTTAGCTCAGCGGCAAAGCGCCTGCCTGGCAAGCGCAAGGTTGTGAGTTCGATTCCTGGTACCGGAAGAAAAACGAAAAACAAACAAAAAACCAACCAACAAACAAAAGTTTACTATTATCATAGCAAACACAGATCTATGAGATTAGAATATGAAATGTGTATCCATTTTTCACATCAACTGCAAGATTTCTGTTTCCACCATTCTCTGGGACAGATGAACTCGCTTTTGAAGTGAGGAGTCTCTGACTCGGAATTCAGAGGAAGCATTAAAACAAGGTATCTCAGTTTCTCCTGGGGTAAGACTGCGGAAGGTGCCATTTCAAAAGAGTAACGCACTGTACTTATATCCCCACGTAGTCTGAGAATCTCGTGTAATGTAACACTCCCAACTTCTGCCTCAGACCTAAAGGTGATAAAGGCACAAGAAAGTTTATACAACCCTCGATCAGGGACAAATAAAACTCCTTTATGCAAATACACAGTGCTTCTAAGAGCTGCTCAGAAAAGTCAGAGGTTGAGGATGCTTGCAACAATGATTCCTCATGCTTTGCATTGATTACAGACAGAAAACAAAAAGCAACTCATAAAGCACCTCTGTGGAAGGGGCCTATATGCCAATCAACAGATGAATGGATCACACAGGCTTAAATATCATATGATTTCTCTACGTGAGAAGCCCAGAGTATAAAGAAAAGAGCAAAATAAGAGACAACAGGAAATAGGGAGGTAGATCTTTTGCAAATGGGAAGGGGACCAAGAGATGCTGGGAACAGAGGCGGAAGTGTTGTGAAAAGAATGATGATGCGTGATCCAACGACCCACAATGAATGTATTCATTACGTACCACACACATGTACTAATAAAACAAAAGAACATTTTTACCTTGCAGTTTCTAAACTGAAAGTCCCAAAACCTAGGAACTTCCCTCAGTCCCCGATGAATCGGAATGATGGGGCACACTACCCGAATGGAACCCATGTATGCTGAATAACCATGATCAACATGATTGATGAGGCCGTGATACGATCTATTTGACAGGCAAGGATACATTTTACTTGACTCTGTTCTGCTTGACTCTTGCCTGCTTGTTACTCTGCAATGCGTTTTTTAAACACTGAAAAAATCATGTCTTCCTAGCAGTATAGGACCACTACAAATGCTATACTATTAGGGTCTACTAAAAAAAACATTAAAAACCAGCAATAGTTGGAGACAGGACAGAATACTTTTTCTTAAGACAGGAGCTTGGGGGTTGAGGGGTGGTCATCACAGAACTGCTCTTAAATGAGTTGTAGAACTGAGGACGCGCTTGCACACAGGTGGGTCCCCAGCAATGTAACCAATTCCAGAGGCCAAGCAAGGCCTTTCTCCCTCAGCTACACTACCTTCTGAGGTCTTCTGAGCTGTATCCCTCAAACCTAATGGGAACCCTTGGTCTCCTAGGGACCCCAAGTGCCCTGGCCATATGGGGCTGCTCCTAGGCCACGCTTCCTTCCCTCTCCTTGCATGCCGGCTCTGTGGTCTCCGACCCAGGCAGGGTGAGCTGACTTACCGCTTGGCGCCTCGGCCAGGCTTTTCCCATGTCCCATGTCCTCCCTCTCAGCTGTGCGCTCAGGGCTGCCTTCCGTTCCTTGTTTGCCGAGAGCCTGACTCTAAGCCTGCTGGCTGCTTGCTGCTGTGACTGTAAATGTCAATTTTAGATTATCCAACCCCTGCTGTTTAAAAATATCCTTGCAGCATTTAACCTTCAAGGCACTGACAGACAGCAATAACCCAGGCTTGAAAGAAAACAATCCCACACCAGACTCCTCGAGCGAGCGGTGGAGCTGGCCACTCCGGGAGAGGGTTGCTTTCCACTTTTCAATCCTGTAACTTCTTTTATTTCAAAATTCCTAAGAGATCAAAGCACGTGGTATGTGAAGTCCAAACTGTTGTAAGCAATAGGAACAAGGTCATTTTGGCCCTCCTGTCAGGTGCTGAAAATGAACCAGCCTACAAGTCATTTGAGAAACAAACCCTGGTGTCAAGCTCAAATGGGGAAGTTGATTCCTTTCAAAGATCCCCTGGCTCCTCTCCCCAGAGCTTTGGTGAAACTGTCTGGAAGTGTGCCACTGAATGGAATCCTTCATTTCTTGAGACTTGAGGGGAAAAAACAAAAAAGACTCCCTTCCCATTCATGGTCACTGGCTTTTGCTAGGGCCGAACAGAGTAGAAGAAACCAGCACCTGCTGCAGTTACAGGGTGTTCTCAGACATGTAGGACAAAGGTCACCTCCAGGTCCCAACACAAGCAGCAGGTGGCAGGCAGGTGGAGACCACACAGAGATGCATTGTGCTCAAAGGGGAAGAGGAATTGAAATCAGCGGCCCTGATTTCTGTACACAAGGGTGCACTGTACTGAACACCAAGTGGAAAAATGGGCTAAAATACTGAATCTATGCAGAACGATTTCAAGTGCCGTGGTGGCAGGTATCACCCTGCCTGGGCTGCTTCACTTGTGGGCTTATTTTTCAATAAGAAAATGTCATCAAATATCAAAATTCTTGGGCTGGGCATGGTGGTGACACCTATAATCTCACCACTCAGGAAGCTGAGGCAGGAGGATTGCAGCTCCAGGCTGGCCTGAATTATGTAGCAAGTTCAAAGCCAACTTAGACTACAAACAAACCATCAGGCTTCTTGGGACTTTCTCCACGGGAGCCGGGAGCAGGACACGGACTTTGCACCTGGTGCTCATGTTGGCTGAGACCTGGGTGGCACAAAGTATGCACTGCAGGACTCAGGCATGAAGTAGTACAGTCCAAGTGCTTAGCACTGAAATGGGACAGGCACCTTCATGAGGACAAGAAATAGAGGGATTCTCAGGCCTTGGCCTGTTGCCTGTTACCCCCTTTAGTGGGTAGCAGGGTAGGGCAGACAGGTCTCTTTTCCCATCTCCCCTTGCGAACACTGTGTGGAATTCACCCTCCTCTGACCCCCTACTTTTATCACAAGAGACAGGTGTGTTATAAAAGCAGGGGCCACCACGGTATCTCCAAGGGTGACAACGGCCAATAATCTGTATTCTTAACAGTAGGAAGTCACCTAACATCCAAGAAAAAGACGCAAAAATTACCATATTCATGACCCAGGGAAAACTACCAGACCTAGCCCAGCCCAGCAAGGCCTTGAAACACAGTCCTAGTCGTGTTCTTTTAATAATGGGCCACCTGCCTTTCTCCTTCAGAGCTGAGCCCCTTTGGCTCCTCTCCTTAAGCTCAAGTCCCTTCCCCAAAAGCTGTAGTTGAAGAAGAAGAGAATTTCCCACCCCAGTAGAACAAAAATTAAATCTAAAAAAAAAAAAAAAATCTTTCCAATGACTCCTAATAATTATTACCTAAGTAGGATGTTGACAGTGGCAAAATTAGGCTGACACGACTGTTTTTACCTGCTGTTAGCCATGACTTTTAGCCTGAGTGTTCTTATCAACTACTTCACTGTACATGAGAAAATGAACATACACTGAGCCACTAGCATAGTGTTTTGCTCATAACAGGCATTCAGTAATATCGAACAAAATTCAGTACTTTCCAAGAGACTAGGCACACAGGTGAAGAACTCCGTCCCGTGGCTTTTTCTCCCTGGACATTATCTCTTTAAGATGTAGACACTTTCTAGAATACAAATGGACGTAACCTAAGTTACCTATGATCTTTTCCCACCAAATACAAGAATACTAGTGGAAACATATTTCTTCAGAATCATCTTAGATCTAGAAAGTTATACATATCTAGTTATTTGCTAAGATTAAAAAAACCATTAAGTGACCACATAGCCCTTCGGCACCTGGAATGCAGCTGACAGGTCCTGCTGCAAATCAGACACCTTCCAAACATACAGGTGCCTGATGCCCAGTGAAATCAGAATTTCTAGCAGATGGAGCCTGCACTGTTCTTATTTTGTGGTGCTGGGGATGGAACCCAGGGCTCTACACATGCTGGGAGATCACTCTTTCACTGAACTGCATCCCAGCTGTGCATTATTATTTTTTAAAGTTCGCTCAAGTTCCAGGAGCACTAACCACTTGCTGGAAGCCTCCTGATCTCCATCTCACCCAAGTACCACAAACACAGAGACAAGGAACAGAGGAAATACACAGCTGAGAAGCAAAAAACGGAAAGTACTGCTCTCCTGGTCTGGTCTACTCACCAGTACTCTCATTTCCACACATCAAAAATGGAAAAACTAAGTTAGGTATGGTGGCACACACGTGTAACTGGGAGGCTGAGGCAGGAGGATCCCAAGTGAAAGCCCAGCCTGGGTAATTTACTGAGACTTGTCTCAAAAACTAAAGGGCTGGGGTGTGAAGGCCTTAGATTCAACCCCTAGTACATACATTATGTATGTATATACATTAAGTAAAGAAGTATATAGGCTGGGGATGTAGCTCATTGGTAAGAGTGCATACCTGGCATGTGTAAGGCCCTGGCTCAATTTCTAATATGGCAAAAAAATAAAAATTAATTAAAAACTAGATCCAGTTGAGACAATCTACAAGGGTACTATAAGAGATCCAAATTAAAGCATCAGAAGGACTCTGCAGTGAAAATCTCTACCAGGCAAAATTACTAGTGCTTCAGTCTGAGCAGCCCAAGCTGACATTCAAGGACCCTTCCACAAGTAGCCCAGTGCTCCCCTACCTGTTTTTCTTCAGACACCTGGAAAGTCCAGCACGGATGAAAAGCCGGCACCACTCACCTACTCCAAAGTCTGTTTCTCCACCAAGAACCGTTCCCACTACTACTTCTCCTAGGAGGAACCTGAAGCAGACAGTGAATTCTAGGCAGAGAGAACGCACCATCTGAACGTAAGCTTAGTAACAACACACTACTAAAAAGAGCACAAGCGATCCCATGCCGACTTTGCCCTACCAGATTCCAATCAAAATCAGGTACTGAACTTTCACACAATTAATTTACAACTTGGGGTTCTCAGGATGACGTTTGCATAACTGATTTCCCTAGGTTACCAATCTCGAAGGTCTGAAAGCCCAGCCATGAGCAGGCCCTCTCCTCTCTACAGAATCATGAGTCCTGAGTCCCACACTGCCACGAAGATCCCTCCCATCCGTACACAGCATTCGGAGTCCCACACCTGGCCTGGCACAGGCTGCTTTTATCCCAAATGCTCTCCTTCCTCTTCCTGGCCTAGAAGATGCCTCCTTCAATACGCAGCTCAACAGTCCCTCCCTGGGGAATTTCTCCTTTCCTGCGCTGACCCAGGGTTGCTTCTGTTTTGTTCCCACCCTGCCACACAGTGGGAGCACCCAGTGGTCTACAAACTAAGGCTCCCAAGCTAGGCGTGTTTTTGTCCTTTGGGATACTGGGGACTAGGCCCAAGGCCTCAAGCAAGGCCCAGGCAAGCATTCTACCACTCTTTTTTGACAGGGACTTGCTAGGTTACCCAGGCTGGCCTTGAACTTGCCAGCCTACTGCCGCATAGTCCCAAAAGCTGAGATTAAAGGCGGGCCTCACTACACACATAGCGATACTCCCTGAGCATGGTACCACATGTCTGTCTGTAATTCCAGCACTGGGGGAAGATGAGGCAAGAAGATTACAAGTTCAACCCCAGCCTGGGTAACTTAGTGACTTAACAAGATCCTGTCTCAAAATAAAAAAGAGCCAGGTGTGGTGGTACACGCCTGTAATCCCCTCACTCGGGAGGCTAAGGCACGAGGCTGAGGCAGGAGGATTGCTGCGAGTTCGAGGCCAGCCTGGGATACAAAGTGAGTCCAAGGCCAGCCTGAATTACAGAGCAAAACCCTACCTCAAAAAAAAAAGGCTGGGGATACAGTTCACTGCAAGGGTTCTGGGTTCAATCCCCAGCACCACAAAACAAACCAAAACAAAACACTACTTACAGTGACACACAAAAATCATATTAAATTCAAATCTAGTGTCTACAAATAAAGATTTATGGAGAAAGAATCTCAGCTGTTTTACATTTTTCCCTTAGCCGCTTTCTCCCCAAATGTAGAGTAGTTCAGAGACCAGATGACTTCAAATCCTAAAACACTTAGTACCTGATGCTTCATATAGTGTGCCAACCTCTGGCCTAAAAGGCACAGAATATTTTTTATTTTTTTATTCAGTTTTGCAGATTAAGGGTTGGAAGCAGAGCAGAGTCAAAAGATTTATCTATACATCTATATAGATATAGATATATATAAACACACATAGATATATATAGATAACCTATATATAAGTATATAGAGAGAGGGGCTGGGTTGGGTGGCGGCACAAGCCTATAATCCCAGTATTCGGGAGGCTGAGGCAGGAGGATCGCTGTGACTTGGAGGCCAGCCTGGGCTACAAAGGAGTTCAAGGCCAGCCTAAACTGCATAGCGAGACCCTGTCTCAAAAGGACAAAAAGAAAATATTTCACACTTGCTTTTTGATACTGAAGATTGAACTCAGAGCCTTGCACACACTAGGGAAACTACTGAGCCACATCCCCAGTCCTTTTTGAAACAGGATCTCCCTATGTAACCCAGGCTGGCCTGGAATTTAGGATCCTCCTGCCCTAAGGATTCCAATTAGCTGGGATTCTAGGTCTGGGCCACCACACTTGGCTGTGTTTTGAGAACACCAAATAACTCCTGTTTATTGTTGACTGCTGGTTATTTATGGTAACTGCTCCCTTCCTACTCACAGTCCTGCACTCAGAGGTCTCAAAGCCTCTGCAGTGTAAGTATCACCTCTTTCCTTCTCTCTTGGGTAGGCGAGTCCATTGCAGCCCTTCAGGGACGATCCCAAAGGGACCAAAAGGAAACTGAGGAGGAATCTTCCTCCTGCAGACGGCTGTTTGCTGATCCTAATGCAGACTCCTAATCTTCCTTTCCACACACAAAGAACCTGAGAGCCAGAGGAAATGATTCCAAGCAAAACTAAAGCATTCTACCCCTACTCTGTCGAATGCACTTGCTGGTCGCCATGTGTCACCTGATGTATTGTTTCTTGCTCAGTTCAAGCACACACATTACAACGTTTCATTACACTTTCTTGTTTTGGTTTTGGTGCTGGGGATGGAGCTCAAGGCATGAGACACATCGAGCCACATGTTCTTCTGCCGAGCTACATCCATTATACCTTTTCCAGATACCAGGGGGTCCCACCGCCACCCTGACACCCCAGTTCTGAGGGCCAACTGCTTGCAGGCCCGCTACCAGCAAGTCACATCAGAAGCCACAAACAGATTCTTACGAAAGTCTATCTAGTCACTGTATGGCAGGGAAAAGCAGTCAGGACAAGATGCCAAGATCCCTGAGGATTGATTGCTCTTTGTCCCTGCCAACCCAGCTAGCCCGCTGTACCCGCAGAATGTAGGGGTCAGGGTGCTCCAGGCAGGGGTGGGGCCCAGGGCTTACCAAGGCCTAGCTGAGTAAGGGGAAAGGGCAATTCCATAGTAGTGGAGCTTGGCTGGAGGCAGGGCAGCCCTTCCCTCAACAATGGTTGCCTTGGCAACCAGGGGGCGGGGCACAGGCACTAACCCAAGTACAAGGTCAGTCCAGGAGTGTCCACAGACGTCAGTCAAAGGAGGATTGGCACCGAGTGAAACTTCAACAATTTTTTATTATTCCATGTGTACAGGGTTAACTTTTTAACCCTTCTAACAACAAAAACAGTCTCCATCACATCCGGCTCAGGGGTACAGACCTAGTAAAGACAGTCTTTTAAAAAAAAAAGAATTTAAAAAAAATATATGTATCTGTGTAAGTACTTTATAAAAAAGTTAAATTTACCAGTGTTAGAAAAAAAAATAAATCTCCAAGTGATTTCAGTCCATTAAAACAAAACAAACAGCACTGGGCAGCCTGCGCTGCCTTACCCCACTCTAACCTCCATCAGTAGTGGGAGAGAAACATCCCTCACTCAAAACAAAACCCTCTCCATCTTTGTTTGACTTCCACCACTTACTACTCCAGGAAGCACCCAAAGAACGGGAGAAAGACCCAGCTGGTTGTGGTTTTTAGCCTGCTGGTCAGTGAAGGCTCACATCAAGGACAACTGTCAGGAATACTGGCCTCTACTACAACTGACTCCCAATTTCAGGTCCAGATTTCTAGAGGCTTACAAAACATCTTCAAGGTTTCTCCAGGGAGGGATCTGGGACTCCTTGAAAGATGGAACAGGGAGGTTCTAAGCAAAAACACAACACCTTGTAACCTATGAATCTAAACTAGCTGCAAGCACCAAACTATGGGAGGAAGTATCAAAAAGGTGCTTAGCTCCCCTTTTAACCGTAAGGCTAAAGGAGATGAGGCGGACCAAGGAAATATTTGACCTCAGCTGTCTTGTGAGAAATGTGCATGTTTTTCACCAAGCCACCTCTGCCTTGATTGGAGGACAACTCAAATACACAAAAGCGGTTAAAGGGTATCTTTGCTACCTACTTCTGGCTGGATAAAGCTGCCATCCAGGACAGCCTGGTCCTTAGCTGCATTATGGAAACTTTCTCTCATTATTAAGCAGGGTGCTCCGCAGCACAGAAGTTTTCAGTAACTTTGTGACTGACAAATCTTCAACAGCGGTGCCTCAAAAAAATCACCCCAGGAGATGACCACTGCACTCTGTGGAGTCACAGGTCACTCCAGTCAATGGGCTTCTTGCCAGACTTCCGCAGCAGCTCATTGGCTTTAGAAAAATGTCGACAGCCGAAGAATCCTCTATACACAGACAACGGGGAGGGATGAGCAGTCTGCAGGACATGGTGCCGCTTCTGGAAAATGAACAGGAGTAGTAAGTGACAGATTAGAGAGGCAACTCCCTTTGCCCCATCTAAATGCTTCCACCATTCAAAGTGAATCTACCTTCAGCACTTGTACTAGAACTTTTCATCTGTTCACTCACTTGTAGAGTGATTACTTTCGTTAAATTATGAGGTTGCATAGGACCAGTCTCAGCCTTTGATTTGGCAGGATCTATGCAATTTGTAGGTACCAGGTAGCATTATATGGTAACTCCTCTGCTAAGAGTGCATTTAGATTATGTTTGCTAAAGGATGCTACAACACATGTACTCAAAGGTGACTATAGTGCAGGATCAACTGTATACTGTGCTTATGTCTAAGTCTAAACACAGCTAACGCGGGTCATGATGGCATGTGCCTATAATCCCTGGAGAAACCTTGAGCATGTTTTACAAGCTTCTAGAAATCTGGCCCTGAAATTGGGAATCAGTTTTCTGAGTGTAATAGAAGCCAGTATTCCTGAGAATTGTCCTTGACGTGGGCCTGTCTCAGGAGACCAAGACAGGAGGATCTCTATGAGTTTGACACCAGCCTGGACTAGATAGTGAGAAGGCCAGCCCAGAAGATACAGTGAGTTGCTGACCACTGTCTCCAAAAAAAAGAAAAAGAAAAAAAACAAAAGCCGGCGTGGTGGTGCACGCCTGTAATCCCAGCATTTGGGAGGCTGAGGCAGGAGGATCTTTGTGAGTTCGAGGCCAGCCTGA